AGTGCCTGGGATTAATGCTTTTGTCTCACGCTGAGGAGGTTCCTTGGTGAGGGGTGAGGCTCAAAGGGGGGTCATTTCCAAAGTCCCTCAATGTTTGTGTAGCCTGGGGCCAGCAGGGCTGGGGATCTCACCTCTGGAGGCATCCAGGCATGGGAATGGTGCCTGGAGCAGCACTGGGAGCAGGGTTTGGTGGCAGAAATGGTTTTAAGAGATGTGGGGWTTCAGACTTGTTTGCACCCAGAGCATCACCTCCAGCACTCTGACACAGAAATCTCTGTGTCAGAGAAAACAGGGTGGAATGACAAAAAGGGCAGTTTACTCTCTATAGAAACACTTTATTAGGTATTCTGGTTTTTTTCAACTTAATAATGGAAGAGAGGAGTGAGCTGAGCAGGTCAGGCAGGGAGCTCAGGTGGAGGAGAGCGGGTGTGCTCCCATCCTTCCAGTGACCCCTTGCTCATCTCGCTGCTAATGAGCTTTGTAAATGAGGAAATGAGCAAAAGTCCCTTTTTTACCTTACATGAGCAGGGAATTGTCCAGGTATTTGTTTTCCTAAGGCACAATCTTGTCCAGGTTCTGYTGTGTGCTTGTGGTTTTTTCCACCAGTGATGATCCTCCTCTTTTTTTTTGCTCTGGGTTGGTGGTGGGCAGAGCAGCTGTGCCCAGTGCTGGTGGCAAGAGGCCACACGGTGCCACACGCTGTGCTGGGGTGACAGCAGTGGGCACAGGAATCCCTTTTTGTTCCAAACCACAGCCCCTGTGTATCAGCGAGGCTGGGCTTGCTGTATTCCCAGGGGTGGCTGTGGGCATGTGGCAGCAGGTCCTGCCAAAGCTGCCACTCTGTGTCACCTTGGAGATGTCATTTAAAAGGGAAAAAAGCCTGTTTTGCAAAAAAAAAAAAAAAAAAAAAAAGCAGATAAAAATAGCACTTCCTATTCAGCACATCCATTCTTTGTGTGTACTCAAAATTCATTTGCTGACTGCAATCCCAGGGATAAGCACCTGGGAGCTCTGGGATGGGCTGGTGTCCAGCTGTGCCATTGGCCAAACCATGGGGATCTGCTGCTGCTGGGTCCGTCTCCTCAGAGCCCTGGGCAGCAGCAGGGTCAGAGTTTGGAGCTGAGGGCTGTGCTCAGCCTTCAGGACCCTGTGATCGGTGCTAACACTGATAACAACAAGATAAGTTTTCTTTTCCAGTGCCAAGGGCAATTTTCAGGGCTGTCTGTGGGCACAGAGACATCAGTTCACTTCTGCATAGATGGAGTGGACATGCAAGGCCGTGGATTTATGTTTTTAAACATAGCCTGTTGGATTTSTGGATTTATGGTTTTAAACATAAATATTTATGGTTTTAACATAAAAACATAAAGCCAAGAATCCAGGCTTCTCCTTGGGTTTTGAGCGGACTGTGAGCTGGAGTCTCCCTGTACATCTCCTTTTCCTCTCTATGTCATGGATTAAGTGTCACACCCTATTCCCAAACTCTGAGTTCTATTTCCTGGTCAGATCCATGGATAAAGGATGGTCTGGGAGCTGGAAATGAACCCATACAATGAAAGTCTGTGATAAACCACAAACAGCAATTTTTTTTTAAAATTTCTGGGTACCTGTGTGGGAGCTCCCTTTGCTTCCCTGGCTAAGTAAATCCATTCCACATCTGGATGAGGGGTGAGCAGAGGTGTTTGACCAGGACCTGCTGGGGCACCACGTCTCAGCAGCTTTCCTGCCACTGGGGAGGGACAGGACGTGCCACCAGACAGAGCTATTGACCCAGCTGCTCATTGATTTTGTAATCATTTCCCAACAGAGCCCCCCGTCCTGTGTCACTGCCAAGGCACATGGCAAATTGAACTGCAACTAAATTGATGGGGCATTGATTAAAACTCACCGTAATTATTGGTTCTCTGCTGCCCGAGCCAGGCAAATCAATGTCAGCAAGAACAGATCTGCTCCTTTGTGAAAGCCCAGTGAACACAGGGCAAGTGCTGGCTTTCCAAACCCRTCCAGGAGCCCAGGCTGACCCATCAGGGAGTCAGGATTAGCASAAAATGACTTTTTCCAGGSTAATTTCTGAYTCCTGTGGGCAAGAATATAGTTGCACTCAAAAGGACTTCAGTTTTCCCCCACTCTGATTTATTGGTGGGACATCCCRATGGGAAATCCTCTGCTCCAGGGGCAGGGAGGTGTGTTACAAAGATTTATGAGCCCAGAGGAGCTGTGGCTGCCCCAAGAAGTGCCCAAGGCCAGAGTGGGCAGGTTTGAAGCAGCCTGGGATAGTGGGTGGCACCCCTGCCCAATGCAGGGGAGTTGAGATGATTTTTAAGGTCCACTCCAATCCAAACCATTCTGTGATGTATTGTGCCCAGTAGTTGCTCCATCCACTTATTCATCCCTGCAAAACCCTCTGGTGTTGCCTCTGGTGGTGTTTTTGTGGGCCAGAACTRATTTCTGAGTTCCCTGGTCCCCCTGGTTCCCCTGAGCAGGGACATTCCCCATATTTTCACAGTTCCCAAAGCTCCCTGTCCCTGGAGAGCTCCGTGCTGCAGCCCAGCAACTGAGTGGAGAGGCAGCTCTACTCTGAGCAGGGATGGGTGTGAGGAAAGGGGGTGCCTTCCTTTACAAGCGCTGTGCCGAGCTCTTTGCCTGCTGTAATTAATGAGTATTAGGATGCATCATTAGGAGCTGAAAGGAATTATGTTTCGTGGTGGTTGAGAGCCAAAACTGGAGGAATATCCCAAGGGTGGCCTGAAGCAGAGCAGGACTAAGGGAGGGAGGGCTTTGGTGACCCACTAACCCAGTCACAGAATGAGCCTCTTCTTCCTCCGTGGCTGCAGAAGGTGCTGAGCTCAGCACGTGGAGCTGTGCCAGGGCAAGAATCCCTGTGACAGCACAGAGAGCTGTGACTGATCCTCTGGCTGTGCTCCTGCTGCCTTACAGCCCCATCCAGCTGCCTGCAGCACCCTGGCAGATCCCTCAGGAGCTCCAGGAGGAGCTTTTCAGAGCCCTGTGGGTGCAGGGAGAGCAGCAGGGAGGAGGATGCGGTGCTGTGGAGCAGAGATGCTGATCACAGCCAGCCCTGTGTCCTGCAGGGAGAGCCTSCCTGCCCCTCTGCACAGCTCTGCTCTTCCAGCAAAGGAGGACACCGCAGGAGCTGTTTCTGCAGATTCACCAACACCCTCACCCTGTTCCCCAGGCAGCTCCCAGGTGGTGAAAAGCATGGATTATTCTCTGTCCCCTCTCCTCCTTCATTATTCCGTGTATGCATCTGGAAAATCTCCTGCTCCCGTGTCTTCTGCTGCTTCCTGCTGCCAATTCCAGATCTGTGTGTCTGGGACCCTGCAGAGATGGGCATCATCCCCTTCCAGAGCCCTTTGCTGCCAGGATTGTTGGGATGGAAAAGCCTTGTGCTTTCCCTTCCCACCTTACCCACTGTCCCCAAGGATGGCACTGAGATTTTCAATCCCCAGAGCTGAGGGCAGTGAGGGATCTGAGGGATCACTGGAGTGGAGATCAACTGCTGCAGGGAGGGCAGAAGCAGTTCTGATGCTGCTGCTGCTGCTGTAGGGAAATGGAAAGGGTTTCTAGGGGGTGGAGGGAAAGATGGGGACAAAATTTTAGCAGCACAGGACAAGTGTGATGGCTWYAWWYTGAAGGAAGGGAGGTTTAGRTTAGATATTAGGATGAAATYMTTCCCTCTGAGGGTGGTGAGACCCTGGCAGTCTCCAAGGCCAAGGTTGGACGGGGCTTGGAGCATCCTGGGACAGTGGAAGGTGTCCCTGCCCATGGCAGTGAGGTTGGAACTGAATGGTCTCTTCCARCCCAAATATTCTGTGATTCTGTGATTGCKCAGRGTGTGCCAGGACTCCTTAAAGCCCCTTTCTGCTGTCCCTGTTTGCTTCTTAAGCAGCCAAGTGTGAGCGAGGCTCTGCAGCCCAGGATCCTGCCAGGGTCCAGGGTCTCATGAACTTTTATTAATATGTACAGCATTTTTCTCACATGGAAAATTGATTTTTTTTTTTTTTTAAGCACGAAGTATGGCAGTTTTATAACCTTTCCTCTGCTTGACAGAGGCCGTTTGACAGAGTGCCTTCATCACTACCTGTGTCATCTCCAGTCTAACTCATCTCCACAAAATTCCATAATGCATTTTTAATTGTGAKCTGCTCCTAGACAAGATTTATTTATTTTTTTCAAGGACTGGCCTTTTTGTTGTTGTTTGTGTGTGCATGCTTCTCCCTTTGGTGAGAAGGGACAATAACACAAATAGAAATTTGTTTTAATCCGGGTGACAATTTATTGATGGCATTTGCTGCCTGCTGGCTTTTATCTTCTGGGGCAAGGGAAGCAAGCTGGAATTAAAAATTAGAGAATTATAAGCTTAGGGAATTATAAACTAGGGAATTAAAAACTAGGGAATTAAAAACTAGAGCCGTGGTTCCCTTGGCTGTGGAGAACTGATGAGCCTGGGCTGCCATCCTGTGTGTTCCCAGTCCTGCCTCTGCCACGGGCTGGTCCTGCCCAAATCCTTTTGGATATGATGCTTGCTGACTGCCCTGGTGTGGGTTGAGATGAATTTCTGGGTCGTTCCCGAGCACTGAGATGGTTCTCTGGGTGTTGAGGTGTTTCTTTTTGGTTTGCACTGGATTTTCTGCGTTTTGGGGGAGCGGGTAGCAAACACAGAGGGTTGTCATGATTTGCCCCACACTGGATAGAGGGTTCATTGTTGTGTGATTTTGATCCTCTGGGGGGAGGATGAGGAGGGAGGCTTTGGCAGCAGACCCAATCCCAGATCCCAGATCCCTGCCCCATGGCCCTTACCCCTTTCCCAAGGGCTGTGCAGGTGATGCAGGGCTCCCCATCCATCACTCCAGACAAACCCATTCCCTTCAGATGGAAAGGAGTTGAGCAGGCTCTTGTTTGGGCTGTGTCTGGGAGGGCACCCACTTCACAGGATGGGGGAGGACCCACAGGTGACCTTTTCCATGTCTCTCTGGCTGCAGTGCCCCGAGGACCTGCGGCCCATGAAGGATGGCACCGGCTGCTACGATTACTCCAAAGGGATCGACTGCTCCGACGGCTTCAACGGYGGCTGTGAGCAGCTCTGCCTCCAGCAAACCCTGCCCCTGCCCCACGACCCCTCCTCCAGCACCATCTTCATGTTCTGTGGGTGAGTCCCCTCCAGTGCTCCTCAGCGAGCAGACAAASCCCCCCTGCCCTTTTCCATCCCTGTGCCACCCATCCCAGCCCAGCCTGGAGCTGGGTGTCCAAAAAAAAAAGAGCTGTTTGTGGAGCTGACTTCCAGCAGGGAATAGAGACACCTGGTTTGCCTGGGGGAAGTGTGAGGAGGAGTGTGAGCACCTTCCTTCATTCCCCCACAGTTTGATCCGTGACTCACYGTGAAGGGACCCAAAAATTGTACATTGTGTGTTGGAGGGGGAAGGTGTAGGATTTGTTTAAAAAAATACCACTTTTAAAATTTACTTTATTTTTATTTTTACTCCCCTGTGCCTCYCTTAAAAATAGAGCTTCATCCCTGWTTTTGGCTGGGATCTTATAATCCTACACGATTTAGCATTTTCTCTCAGGAAAATCTGGGCAGCTGCAGCGTGCTCTAAAAGGAGCTCAGTGTTATCTGGCTTTGTGCTGCACAGCTGCAGCCATCCATCCCCTGCCCCAGCTTCACACTCTCAGGCACACTCAGAGACCTGCTCCATGTCCCAGTGTGATGGATTAGGAGGAAGAAAGGGGAAAAAAATACCCTTTTGGGAAGGAAATGCCCACAAGCAAGAAGGGGAAGTTACTGCAAGTCCTGAGCAGTAACTCTGAGGAGCATCCATCAAGCCCCRATGCTGCAGGTGCAGGAAAAACCTCACGCAGCTCTGGCTGCTGGCTGGTCCCTGGGAAGAGCAGCTCAGGGAGCTCTGCCTGTGCCAGCTTCTCCTTTATTTATCCCTTTTTTGCTGGTTTGTTGTTCTTTCCCCCCATCACTTTATTTTTTTATTTATTTATTATTATTATTATTATTGTTTAGCAACACTGAGCGGCTGAGTCACCAAGACAGAGCACGTTTTTCTGCTCTGTGCCTGCAGAAAGGGCTGGAAATTTGTCCAGGCACCATCATCCTTTGTCGGGAGGGTCTAAAAATCCTGGGACATTCCATGGTCTCCAGCCACACCCACGTGAATCTGCGTTTCAGCCCTACATCCCCAAGGACAGAGACTGTTTCCCCTTTATATATATATATATATATATTTTTTTTTTTTTCATAATCCCTTTTCAAGGCTGAGCTGAGCTTTGGGAACAGGCAAGGAAGAGTGTGACAGACGGGTGGGAGTTGAGCTTGCAGTAAAATGCAGCAGAGGAAGGGGAGAGGGAAGCAAGGCTGGGCTGGGGGGAGGTGGGGTTGGTGCTGGCAGAGCGCTGGGGCTGTGGGGAGGAAGGACAGGCAGGGAACAGAGCTCCCTGTGAGGTGGGAGATGAGGAAAAGGCTGCTGGAAAAGGAGGAGGAGAGGCAGGATGAGCACATTTGTGAAAGATTCCACCAAGGATTCCAGTGTCTGTAGTTAATCCCATCCATCCCTGCTGCCTGCCTCAGTTTCCCTTCCTGTCTGTTGAAGATGAACACGTGAATCTGAGCCAGATSAGGCCTGAAAGTGGGAAAGAGCAGGGGAGCAGCCCTGCTGGAGCTGTGTCCATGCAGGAAGGTATTGCTGGGTGGGAAGGGGCAGGAGCCTGATTTTGCTGTGCTGTTTCCTGGGGARTGTTTGTTCCTGGGCAGCTGATGCACGGTGGGCTCAGCTCCAGGCAGGAGAACGTGGAATCATGRAATGGTTTAGGTCAGAAGGGACYTTAAAGCTMATCTTGTTCCATGSCAGGGACACCTTCCACCAGACCAGGGTGCCCAAAGCTTTGTCCAACCTCTCTGCAGGAGCTGAGCTGTCCCCATTCAGTGATCACCCAACGCAGCCAGGGCAGAGGATTTGGGCTCTGTGGCCCCTCAGCTGCCCAAGCAGCTCTGCAGGTGTTGGTGGTGCTTGGCTGCACTGGACAGAGGCTCGTGGGGTGGGTTCCTGTGTGCCTGACCCCTCTCACATGGCCTGTGGTYCCCCAGGTGTGTGGAGGAGTACAAGCTGGCCCCAGATGGGAARTCCTGCCTGATGCTGTCTGACATCTGCGAGGGCCCCAAGTGCCTCAAGTCGGATGCCAAGTTCAATGACACCCTTTTTGGGGAGATGCTGCACGGCTACAACAACAGGAGCCAGCACGTCAACCAAGGGCAGGTGTTCCAGATGACCTTCAGGTATGTCCTGGTTCTGCTTCTGGTTTTGGGAATGTCAGGGTGGTGAGATGGGGACCAAGGTGAGGTGGTGCAGAGCCAGCATCTCTGAGGGGAAGAGAGCAAGAGSACAGCCAGCATCCATGGCTTTCCTGCTGCTCACCCTTCCCTCTGGCTCCTCCTGGCCCAGGGTGTGTCTTGTCAGATCAAACCGTGCTCCATGTGCCTTTTTCTGGAGCATTGCCTCATCTCTGTCTGAACACTGATATCTTTCATCTCCACCACGTCCTGCAACAATGAGTTCTGTCTTTGATTGTGTGTAGTGTGAAAGAGCATTTCCTTTGCTGTGTTTCCAGCCTGTGYCCCCATTACAGCACTGGGAGGAGCTGTGGATGTAGCACCATAAATAATGCAAATGAGCTGAAGGTAAATGCCTTCACCTTGCCGTGCTCACAGAGGAGAGCTTGCTGATTTCAGGGCTTTCAGATGAGTTATTTAGTTATTTTTCTTCAKGTCTTCTCAACGCAGCTGCGTTTTGATCAGGTGTGAGCCAGGGTGGCTCTGAGTTTTGAAGCAGCAGCACTAATCCCAGCCAGGAGAAGATCCCGCCCAYACCTGGCTCTTCCCTGCCCAGCACCTGAGTGTTTCTTTCTCTRAAATGCCTTCCTTTCAAGACCTCATTGCTGCCTCTGATTTTAGCTGGAGCTTGGGGTGCTCACCCCTGCTGCTCACAGAGTTTTTCCAGGTGTTTTTGCCCAGCTGAGTGCAAAGCTTCCCTGGCTTCAAGCTGAGCTCTGCCCTTCTACTCTCTTGATGACATTGGCATTACAAGCTCCATCAGCACAAAGTGCTGGGAAAGYCACAGCCAGCAGAGTGCTTGGGGCCAGCAGAGCTGCAGCTTTTGCTGGAAGTGAGAAYTGACAGGACACAAAGGCAGTTTTCCCAGGAGACTCCTCTTTGTTTTCTCTCCCTCCCATGTTCCCATCATCAGAGCAGAGCCTGGGCTGCACAGATGAAGTTTTCCATGGGTTTAAGTGATGCTTTGTTGCTTCYAGGTAGAAAATGTCCTCAGGGCTGAATTCCAGCTGGAAAGCACAMAAGGATGTCTGTGGGGCTGATTGATCCTGGGACCCCTCAGGAGGCTTCTCCAAATCTTCCTGTCTGAGGGCATCCTGAGGATGGTGGGTTTGGGCAGTCCAGAGCTGCACCAGGAGCATTCCCAGGGGACTGTCCTGGRAATAAAACACCTGAGGTGTTGGGATGGCATCTTCCAGGGGCCAGAAAGCACTCCCTGGGGCTCTGCCTGACAGTTTTTGTGGTTAAAAAGAGGGCTGTTAGTGACCCACTCTCATTCCCAGAGCTTACACCGCTCCCACTGCACTGGCTGGGGTGTGCAGTGGGGAGAAGCTTTCCCCAGTGAGGGTTTGTGCAGGGACAGCYGAGTTCTTTGCACAACCTGCTGTCACAAAAAGGGTTTTCAGCCTCTCTAGTCCCAAGTGTAACAGCTGTGAGGGGCAGRAGAAAGCAGGTCTGAAACAAGAGCCCACGTGGTGCCGGCTGTAGCGTGCGACAGAGTGGCTCCGCAGAGCTCAGCGCCTGGAGGGAAGGCAGCACATCTTGCTCCAGAAATGCTTCCAGCAGCCTGGAAGGTCAGCACAGCTGCCCTTTTCCCATCTGAGCGTGGGCTGCTGGCTCCAAAAGCAGCAGGCAGTGATGAGAAGGGCTCGGTTCCCTGCGAGCAGTGTCCTCCCCCGTGGCCAGGCTGCCAGGAGAGCCACAGGGTTACGGTCTAGGAGCACCATTACATCATCCCTTAACAAGGGAAGAGAAGGAGGTTAATGGAGAAGAAATTATTAACTAAAAGATGTAATTTGCCTCTGATTTTCATAGATATTCAAGAACCTCTCTGAGCATTAAGACACCAGCTGTTAGAGGAGCCCTTAATTTGGTGTATTTGAAACATAGCAGGAAGCTGCCTAATACTAGGGATTAAAAGCCTGTTTCTGCGAAGTAGGAGCAAGAACCTGCTATCAGAACAAGGGGCTGAGTATTTTAGAGGGATTTATGACTGCTGGGATCCTTTARCTATGCAGATGTGACAATCTTTCGAATGGTGTCTGCTTCCCATGTCGCCCGCATCTTCAGTGTCTTTAATAAATAGGATATTCTCAATCTGCCAGGCATGTCAGCATGGGGCTGGGAGRGAGCCTTTGTGCTGGGAAAAACCGCCTGGCACACCCTGACTTGGGCAACACTTATCAGTTACTGGAGAATTTCCATCCCCTGGGAGTCAGGGAGGTGTTTTTGCCACCTAAGGGGCTGCAGCACTGATCAGTCAGAGTCTCTGCCCTTTTGGTGGTGGCAGAATCATGGGATGGGTAAGGTCAGAAGAAACAGCTTTGGGTGCTCTGAACTTGGAGCAGCTGGCACAGGATTGCAGCTAGGCAGTTGTTGGATAATCCAGTGAGGCAGACTCCACACCCTCTCTGGYCAATCTGTTCAGTGTGTGGTCACTGCACWGGGARGAARTTCTGCCTCATGTTCWGGAGGRACTTYCTGGGCATCAGTTCAGTTTCTGCCTGTTCCTCCTGTCCCATTGCTGGKYCCCACCAAGCAGAGCCTGGTCYGTGCTCTTGGCAGCCTCCAGGCCGTGCTCAGGACATCACTGGGATGTGCTGATATTTTGTTTTTGTGCCTGCCCAGCTGGAGAGGCTGGGGATGTGCAGGAGGTACCTTCAGCATGCAGAGCACAGGTGGATGTGAGGGTGCAGCAGAGCTGCACAGCTTGAGAGCTCCCAGACTTCAGACCAACGTGTGGCTCTGGTCAGCACTGCTTAAGATTTTGGGTTTCCTCTCTAAGAGATGTAATTTTATCCATGGGCCTTTACCCCAGGATTTCAGCTGTGTGCCTGCAGAGACAGCAATGCCCAGGGGAAGGTGGAGGGAGCAGATGCTGGGGCTGAGCTGGATGGTTCATSCTGTGTGCTCCAGCCACACAACCCCAGCCCTGATGGAACACCTCTCTGTGTGGCCTGCAGCCTGTCCCTTTCTGATCCACCAGTGGCAATGAAGGCACAGCCCAGCAGGATTTGAGTGCCACAGCATCCCTGCAGCTCTGCTCCAGTTGTCAGGAGTTGGGAGCTCTGTGGGCAGCTTCTGCTCTGCTGAGGTGGCTTAATAACCACTAATTATTTCTGTGGAGGCTGGGGTGCTCGAGTGCTCTGCTGGACATGCCAGCATCAAGGTTCCTGCTCGGAGGAGTGCACCGTGGCATTGTTGCTGCTGCCTTATTGGAAGGATTTCAATCAAAGCACTCCTCCTGTGCTTCTCCTGTGCAGTTCTTCATGGGCATGTTGGGAGGGGGCTGAAGAGGGATCTTCCATCACCCACCAAAAACCTCCTTGCTCCTTCCACTGCTGAGCCAAAAGCACATTCAGAGCTGTTTTCTTCTGGGCACCCCTCTCCTTTCTTTAAAAAAGAAAGAATTCACCATTCCCRTTGGTGAAATGCCCTGTGGGGTTAATAAGTAGATGGGATTGGAGCTGATCTATTCCAGTCACACCTCCTGGTCTAGCTGGGATGCCCAGCAGTGGATGCAGCTCACTAAAGACTAGATTAGAGCGATTTTCCCCCCGTTGCCTCACGGTGGGGCAGAGCCTGAACTCTGCGCCGTTCCCAAATCACTGAGGAATTATTTTCCAAATGGGTTGTTTGTTCGTTCTTTATCTGTTTTTGTGCCGTCTCTTTGCCATGAGGGAATAGATATTTTTGTTTAAAAGCTGTTTGCAGTTTCAGACTGTTGCTTTTAYGCCATTAATATGGAGAAATCCCAAAATACTGCCCGTGGAGCCAGCTTTGCTTGCTGGATTATTGCAGCACGGCAAACAGGATGTCAGAGCAGTGCATGGCAGAGCACTCGCTGGGAGCAGCTCTCTGCCCTTACCAGGGTCCCTTCCCATCCCAGCCCTGGCTCTGCCTCTCATCCTGGCTCTTGCTCCAGCCTGGCAAATCCTTGGGACACAGGAACACCCACACAGCCCCCATTTGGTCCCTCCCTGCAGACATGAAGTGAGTCCAGGGGGTTTTGAGGGGTTGAGGGCAGAGAAGGAGCCAGAATGATTTGATGACTGGAGGGAGGGAGAGGATTTGTGTTGGTGCTCCCTCCCTGCTGAGCACCAAGTGGTTTCTCTTCCCCMTTTCCAGCAGGACAGCTCTGCAGGATCCAGGGGTGCCCAGCTCTGCTGTGCCCAGCACCTTCTCACAAGCTGGAATCACCCTTCCCTCTTCAAATAAGTCCTTGGAGGATGCTGTTCCCTCCATTCCCACCTATAAAACCGGGCTGCTGCTTCTTTCCAGCCTTGGGGAAGGCAAAGGGCAGCTTGGAGGTGGTGCTGAGCACAGCCCGAGGTGTCTGGGGTGMTGCACAGAGGGATGGGCACTGCCCTGACTGCTTCCAGAAGGCTCTGCCTCCTCACAGCTCCGTTCATGCTGTCAGGCCACTGACCTCATGTGTGGACTTGTCAAAATATTGATGGCGAGTTTGGCAAGTTAATTTTAAATCTGTCACTCCTTCCCCTCAACGCTTCTCACCCCTTAACGAAGCAGCACGGTGGCAGGGGGTGAGCTGGCAGCTCGGTGCCATCCCTGTCTGGGCTGTTTTGGGAAACATTTCCCCCCTTTCCTTCCCCCCTGCACCTCGTGAGCTGCACCCCGTGCTCTCCCACCTGTGGATGCTGCCAGGGGCTGGGCTGGGGCTCAGCTGGGTGCAGAATCACATCTGGGGTGAGACTGGAGGGGCTCTGCTGGTGCCCCTGGYTTGGAGCTCCCGGGCCAGCCCTGGCAGGGACATCCTGCTTCCCCTAGGGAGTTACACAAATGTAGTGTCTGTAACTGGTTAAATTAAGTCAATTTTTTCCCCTATTTTTCTCCCTCTCTTTGGAACCTCCAAGCCCAGGAGTTATAATTGTGCTGTTTATTATTCCCGTGCTGGCAAGCCGCTGCACCAGAGCCTTGTTTACCCATTA